ATGTGCATGGGTCCCATCTGTCGACTGTAATGAGGGGATTGTCACACTCTTACTGTAGCCAAAAGTGATATAGACCTGATAAATTTACCAAAATATTAAATAATAAAATACTAAGCATTTTTTATCTACATATAAACCTTAATTATCTGATTTTTTCCCAAAATGAATCACGTATGCATTAAACAAAATTGCCTTTATAATTTGTTAATTTAAAAACCATTCAGTTTTGTTTGTTAAATCAATTTTTTTTTGGAATAATCAAATATAAAGACAGGAGCCTTCAGACTATTGCACCCTTAATATGTTATTTATACTTAAGAAATAACATCGGTCTTAGCGGTGTTTATCGGCTATTTAACACCAGTTTGGAGTTTTGATGCGTAGGAATTGACCACGAAGGCCGTAGGCCTTCGCATCAAAACGACAAAACACCGCTTAGACCGATGTTATTTCGATTCTAAAAGATAAAATAAGGAAAATCACTAATGTTATTTTTTCAAGCGGAAATACTAGTAACTTCCGGTGCAGATTCTCGTATAACGATGTTCGATTTCGCACCCTAATGTTGCTAAACTAAAGAAAATATTAAACAAAAGCAATTATAAGAAAAAACATTATTTTATTTCAACAATAAAAACTTACGTCTTACAATGGATTGTATTGTGTTTACATAAGTGCCCCATTTATCAATCTTGTATGTTTGAACTGACGTCTGCGTTTATGAATGGGTTGTTTACTTAGGATGACGTCATTACGCTGCTTACGGATTGGCACGTTTTGTCGAAATATTTATTTACTGATATGGATCAAATATGTGACGTTAGTATATATGAGATATTATTTCGGTATTGTATGAAAATAAAACATTGTAAGAACTGTAATATAAATAAAAATGCTTTTTTTATTGTTGCTTTAAAAGGGTTTGTAAACTATATAATCGAGGGAGAAAACATAACAGCCGCATATACATGTAGTACTTAACCAGTGTTTATTGGCAGTTTAACACCGGTTTTTTTCTTCTTTGTCTTTAGTGCAAAATCACGAGGAGTGTTCGAATGATAATTATAATATTGCAATTTTATAACTTAATTTTTTTACCGGATAATCATGACGATAATATTATTTGTATATACATACATTGCTGCAATCCAATCGATTTATAAATTTATTTCATATCACCTCTTATAAAGAAAGTTTGCATTATTATAAAGTGATCAAGTAAGTTTCGGAGAGCTTCTGATCCGATATCATTGACATACATGAATGCCTTCTTACAGAACGAGTCCGTATCCGGCGTTTCCCTTTAAGAGTTTCGTCAGAAGCAATTTTAATGTACACTCCCAGTAATAAACACCTCTGCTTCATTTCTGTCAATCTCTCTCATAGAAAGTACATGGCTGTCAACACTAACTCTGTAAAACTGGAGAAGGCAATCCACTTTGCACGTACCAACCTTACTGGCTCTGTTACATGATGCGTCATCAGTATCTCTGTCTGAGTCTTACTCTGTCTGAGTCTGATTCCTTGTTATTTACAGTTTCATAATTTCTAACCACTTCTTCAGTCCTTGCATTCACTACCTGTTCTGTGTCAGACTGTTGTTCGTCGCTGTCACTAACTTCAAACTCCTGGCTCAGATCTTCAGGAATATCCACCTCTGTGGGTGTAGGACACTGCCCGGCAGATTCAAACAATCCGTTTAATTCCTGAAATAATAGTAACAGATATGTTCACAAGGTTTTAAGATAAAATGTAAAAAAGAAAAAAATAGGACCGACCGAGGTTTCGAACACCGCTCTTGGTACATGCGAGACAACCGCTCTATCCACTGAGTTACTGACCCATGTCAAGTTGACAAATCAATATTTATTTTATAAAAATGATTTTTGCTAAAAATAGCAAACAAGGGAGAAAATCTCGTCGTTTAGCATTTACGTGAACACTGCTGTCAAAAGAAAAATTCGGTTACAGCGCTAATAAAATTCAATTTAGAAAAACAAATATGAAAAGAATAAATAGAGATTACAAGTGTGATATCATTTAAAATCATTAAACTGATAGTATTGCTGTGAATAATTCGTAGACTGGGATTTAAAGCTGCAAACGATAGCGGACAGCAGACGTGTTTAAAAAGCTAATGACTATTATAACAGAGAAACAACCACTAGACTTCAGAGATATAACAATAAATATAATATATTATAATGTTTGCTTTTTTACCTCAAATTCGTCCATTTCTTCAAAAACTTCATATACAGCCAATACTTTATTAATCTCACGCACCGAAACAAGTATGGAGATGAAAAAATTGCTGTCAATCGCTGCTGTCCTTTTCCCGAAGATTTTGACGTTACGTCATATATGCCCGAGTGCCTTTTTTGTGGCGGCGGCCATATTTCTCTGCCGTGTATCCTCCCCCTACAGTACATACGGTAATTCTTTAAATTTATAGTTTGTATAAGGATTGAATATTACTTTCGGTACAACTCAATAACGTACATGGTTCCTTAAATGGCATGTTGTAGAGTGCATTCTTTACTTCTTTACTCTCTAAGGTATCATTCTCTGAAATAGATAAAATTAAGGACTAAATTGCTTATGATTTATGATTTAAGCTCATATCCATCAGTTATGTTACATGTATGTTACATAAAACTACGAAAAGCCAAAAGCATTTTTTTTTTGCTTCTATGAAATATAATGAATCCTAATACTACAACACTGTAATATTTAAAAGAATACTTTTTTAAACTTATATTAAAACAGTTCAGTTGCACCTTAATATCATTTGACCATGAAAATGTGCGTTTGACTTACTTAAAAAGATCAAAAGGCTTCAAAGTTGTTTCATTGGCACAATGTATCAAACAAATATCATAAAGACGACTTTGGTCGACCTTCAAGTATTCGCAATTTGACTGTTACGCGCATTATGTGTGATATTTTAACAACACGCAGTTGCAAATGTACGTTTATTTTTAAATTTGCACTTCTCTCACACAGAGGTTAACCCATAACTGTGGGACAATGGTTTAAGCGGAAGTCTATAAAAAAATACCCCAAAAAACTAGGCTTTGATCAAATATGTGTTTTAAACATTAAACTATTTACTTAATACTTTCTACCCGTACATCGCCCACCCTAAGCCAACTAAAACGGAGAATTTAATATGCCTTATATGTATTTAATTTTTTAAAAATACGCAATTTCTAATGTACTTTTTTTTTTAATTTGCACTGCTCTCATACAAATGTCAACCAATTATTGTGCCAAAATGAATGAAGCGGAAGTAAAAAATCCCCCCAAAACGAGACTTTAAGCAATTATGTGTTTAAGCATTAAATTATTTACACTTCACTTTAGAAATATTAACTGTCCCATTCTTTATATTGAGCTTCTGATCAATAGGAATTGATAATTATAGTGAGATCTTAATTTTGTCACGAAGACACATAATTTTGTTAAAAACAAATATCTATATACTTACACCAGCATTTAATAATCATTATAGTTATTTAAAATGGTTTGAAAAGCAAATAAAATGACAATTAATCTATTGAATAAAATGAAATAAGAATAATTTGCGAGCATATTTCTGTTTTCAAAAGAATATACATATATATGCGCAGTTAAATATGAACTGAAACGCTTGTATATTTTCGAATCAGTTTAAGTGTTTCTTCATGGTACCAATTACGATAGATCAACATATTTTTCTGCCGTGCGACTACCAGAGGTTTATTAAACACAGGCTGTAAAACTAGTGATTTCATACTTAATTACATAAAAGGTACCTCTGAATGCAAAACGAAGTCACAGTTTCTAAACTAAAAAACGTGTTATCAATTATAATTTCAGTTGCACCTAAAATATCGTTCGACGTATAAACATGCATATTGCACGTAGTGTTTGTAATTTATCACGTTTTATTTTTTTATTTAGCGTCTTCCCGTTCCCACTGAGCGTAAAGTTAGAATAGTAAGATTAGATAAAGAATTATAACATTGTCAAATATTGGCTTTTTGTAGATTTTCCAAAACGATAAACATTATGATAAAAGAACATTGTCTCATTTTGTAGCATAACAACCTTTTATGTGACAATAGTCCTTTTAGTAAAATTTACTGCTCTTAATTAATGTTAGCACGTTCATGTTATAGTTCATCCAGGTTACAATATATAGGTTACTGCACGAAACAAAGATATCATATAAGTTGTTTAAGACTTCTTAAATGTAAAAAACTATGCACTGTTACTATATATATCTTACGCCATGGGAACTTCTTTTATCGTCGTGGTCGAAATTCTTTGTGCATGATGAATCCTTGTTTTTCAGGGCAAATAAAAAAGAAAATCAAAGAAAAACATGTCTGCAGGAGCTTGTTCTTCACTGGATTTTCGCTATATATAGTAGCATTATAACGGTTTCTCATGCTGCAGCAATACAGTATTGCAGTTTCTACGAGTCTAAAAATTTATCAGTTTTTGTAAGTCTATTGATAATCGGAATTTCAAAAGTAAAGATTTTTGTATTAATATTCGGTTTTTTAAATTGTTCCTTATCCTGTTTCTTTTATGCCTTTCCTTCTGTAAAATCTTTTAAAGGTAGCAGGGATAAAAATCAAGATAACGCGTGCTTCTTTCCATATTAATAACGTTCATTTGTAATGTGTATAGGTAGGAAATATGATTATCAAGTTAACAAGACTGTAGCGTTTACAATATTATACTATGTATAATGGCTCATGGTCCAGCTGGTGCAAGACTTAATTATGAGGGTGGAAGTCAAAGACTTTAACTTTCTACGCATCAGAAGTGTTAAACAGATCTTGCAGGTATTAATTCTAACGTGTAATGCAATTATCAATTTGAAGGACTTCCGCTTTGAATAAAACATATTTACATTCAATAATATTTTGTTATGCTCAGTTGGAAACAACCAATGAAATGTTTAATATTTTTCTATCATGTGACAACAAATTACGCATTTATTTATTATATAAGTATGTGTTTTACAAATGCAAATAAAGTAGGCGATCAACTTTGCGTGCAGACATACAATTCAGCATTATGATATGGAGTAGATACTAATTAAAGGTATTTCGTTTCATCAGAGTGTAAAATATTTAAAATATTTTTTTCATAAGAGATTATTATGTTTCAAAACAAAATTATTATATTGGCTGACTAATTTTTGATAATAAACAATTTTAATAATTAACACTTTTAACTGTTGAATATATTTACCATAGCATTCACATTTGCCTTTTATTTTGTATTATACGAGTATTATTTTACATCTGTGTTCGACTTTGGTTTTGATTACATATCTATGACAAAACACGTGACCAGTATTGATCAAATTTTTCATTTATGCCGATCATAGATATGTGATGAGAGTAAAAGAAAATAAAACCAAAATCATGTTATTTGGCTCAGCTTATCAAAATAATGCTCATATGATAGACAAATAAAAGAAATCCTCTTAAGCATGTAAACTATTTTTCTTCTGTCAAATCAAAGGTGATTACGTTTTGAAAGTGACAGATATTTTTGAAGTAAATGCATATACGTATTTGGCATAGTATGGCTTGTAGCCATCGTTTTATTTATTAATTTATTTTGTAATTTATTGTAGTTGTAACAACATAGGTATTTTAAACATTACGAGTACATGGTATACATGTACACTTATTCTCTGTAACTTTTGTACCGTAAATGTTGCAGAAGATGAAACCCATTTTCTTTGAATGGAAATACGATGTATTATCATGTTGCTATGCATGTGTATGTAGTTAAAGTAAAACGAGTCAAAAGAAAATATATTTTACAGTTAAAATGGGCAAGATAAGATTTATGCTGTTGTTTCTGCTGACGTCAGTCCACACAACAGGTAACTTATAATGACTTACTTTTGATATGTCAATGTATATTTTCATTTTGTTTGTTTTGTTGTTATTTGTTCTTGCTTGATAGTAGTTTCAAAACATCGACCAGTGTCAGGCCTGTCAACGTGTAAGCAAATGTTTGGAAATGGATCTACAATTTCTCAACAAAACACTGAAAGGCCTTTTTGAATATGAGTCAAAATTCTATGTATTTGACTAAACAAGTAATATTGTATATCCGCTAAAATTATCAAAGGCGCATTCGTACGAAACCTCAAAGTACCAATCACCTTTCGGTACAATTTTACATTATCTAATTTATTTCGACCAATGTTTAAAAAAAGGACAACGCGTATTTATATTTCAAATTGCCGCTATAAATGTATCATGCGAATAATATATTTTTAGCTAATTTGCTATATACTATTGTAAAAACTCATGGATGCTTCTGTTACAATTTACTAGATAACTTTCGTGAATAATACCTTAAAGTAGATTATCCCTTGTATCAATAATCAGGTGCCGATTATTTGGACATTACTGGAGTAAGACTTGTAGATGGCAATGGTACATTTAGCGGACGTGTTGAGATCAAGGTTGACGGCGTTTGGGGAACAATCTGTGATTACGATTTTGACATGAACGACGCCAAAGTTATATGCAGAACACTGAATCTAACGTATGTTGATTATATTAAATTTTGTAATAATCTCTTCAATATTTTACCTCTCTTTGTTAAACAAACATACGGTATACTTTTCTTTCAGTTGAAATAGAAATAAACCAATTCCTCCTTAGATGGGAACTGCCAGCTAAAAACTCTCCGGACCGCTGCAGAAACCTGTGTAGCCTCCCTTTGTAACTCTTCACCTATTTTTACTATTTACGTCGTACGTTTTAGTTATTCAGTACACTATTCTTTTTTTTGGATAAAATTTTGATAGTTGTATGAACATTCTTGTATCTTTAGAGAGTTTTAACCTTCTTATTTAAGCTTTGTATCATATTTCGAGTTTTCCTGTCAAATGCCTCAATCTTATTTTGCATTTGCATTCTAAACAGGCATGAACATTTGCGTTTATATTATAATTAATAGGTTAGTTTTTGGAACAATGTTTTTAAATGTTAAATAAAACTTAATAGCAAATGCTACGTATATGCTAAAATATTAATTTCCATTTCAGAGCAACATCATTCTTTACGGGAGCACATTATGGGCTAGGTAAAGGACCAGTATTTGCTCAGAGGTTTTATTGCAATGGATATGAAAGTCACCTTAGAGATTGTCACTTCCAACCCAATAGTTTTTGCTCTCATTCACGGGACATTGGAGTAATATGTACAGGTACAGATGCGACTTCTCAGGAAAAATGCTTATAATCTTAAATAGGCGGGAATTTTAAAATTCGGGAGTCACAGATACTTTATAAAATCATATCAGATTTTATCACTTCGGCCAAGGAGTGCATAAATATAAAATGCAATTGAAAAACTTCACTTTTCCTAATTCTTTAAACAAATATAACAATTACAATATTATGATAAGTAGTAAAATATGAAAAGTTTTTTAAGCTACTCAACATTAAGTTAATCAACACTATCTATTTTTAATTCAAGAGGATAATTCGTGAAACAGATAAGTAAAAAAGTAAAATGGTTTGTGATAAAACTATGAATGATCATTTCATTTGACTGACAGAATGTGGGGAAATTGACATCAAAAATGGAATCATTGAGTCAATATCATCAAATGGTTCGGTTCTTACAACCTCTTGTGCTACTGACTACCAGACAAACATGCACACAAGTATATGCCAAAGTAATGGAACATGGTCAAACGACATTACTTGCGCAACATCTGGTGAGTATAAATTATTTTCTAGATTGATAAGTTGACATTAAACATTTAAATAAGGGGCATCATCTAAAAATGTGATTGCATATCTTCCTGTGTGTAAATAAGACAAATTGTTGTCTTTAGTGACAGAATGACCGAGTATTTAACCCGTCGGATTTACCTATAAACTTCTACTACATTTCTACGCTTTTTTGGCTTACGCAGATTGCGCATGCGCGAGAAAATACAACTGCCGGTCGATTTTTCATAGCAACGGACCGCGTCGTAAAAAGGTCTATATCTATCATTGCTTTGGCATTTCTGTTTTAAGAAATATTAATTTTAGGTGTCATTTTTACCATTACAGGATATCCATTGAACATCACTGATATAAAACTTGTTAATGGTATAGGATTAACAGATGGTATTGTCGAGCTCAAGGTCAATGGTACTTGGGGACAGATATGTCGTAACGGCTTTTATAGCAGCGATGCAAGAGTTGTATGCAAAATGCTTGGATTCAAGTAATATATTATATCTGCTTTTTAGAATTCATACGCACATTGCAAGATATTATTGTTTATGGAAAAGAGTGTCCAAAAAAGGCACTTTGATCGAAATGCTGTATTTTCGCACGGTAATTAATCAAATTCTAAGAGTGCTTTGTAAATTTTGGTTTGATATTTTCTGTTTTGATAACATTATTTTTACGAGGGATGATATTTTTACTGTTACTCACAAACTCATGTGTCATTTATTTTATTACCCCGAACAAAATACTGAGATGATCTGAAATTGTCATCTAAATCTAACTGAAACAAAAATAAACCAAGAGAAGCAAAACTAAACTGTCCTTACCTTTTAAGTTTTAAGTGTTCTTTACTGTAGGCCAACTTAGAAGTTTTCTTTTTCTTTTATTCTTTAAGCGAGTGATGATATTTACTAGTCATAAACATACAATAAGCTGTGTTTTATTTACAAAACAAAACACTAACTCATATTTACGGTTATGATCTGTGAAATCTGATCCTTCTCATTTCTGTTTCCAGAATATTGTTCACATGGTTTTTGACATAATAACGATGATATCTTATGTCTGTTAACCATATCTGTAACGTTTCACTGATTAAAATTGTTAAATAATCCTTTGTTGCATGCTTAAATCGTCTGCATGTTCCAGTTTGACATAAAATTATTTATACTTCCGTTGAAAACGGATGTTTACTTTTTTTTACTATTCAACAAAAAGATATTTTGTACGCGAAAAGCACTCCAGGGTAAAAACAAATACATTTTATTGGTGTCATAGTTACTTCAGAGTCGATGAAGGATGTTCTATCGTTGTTAACTTCGAAAATAAGAATGAATCGAGAAAAAAATGGCGGCCATTTTATTTCATTTTAGTTATAGAATAGACCACGTGACCAGATTTTATACTGTGGAAAGTACTGTTACCTATGTAACAGTACAAAATTCTTGGTCACGTGGTACACTTGCATTAACAGTAAGATAAACTCCCAGAGGCCTATGGGAAATTAACATTACGAAAAATGTGAGGGGTAATAAATCTGGTTATATTTAAATATATACGTAACTTCTTTATTTATGGACAGTAAACCCCCGTCATTAAGCTCATACATTTTTTCAAATGTAGACAAACTCTTTTTGTGTCCCCACTTTAGTGACGGGCATTTAGATTTACCCTTGTCCGTCCATCCTTCCGTCCGTCCGTCCGTCCGTGCGAACAAACATTTTGGATTTAGGGGCTATATAACAGTAAACAGAACAAAAGAGAACAATAGGTTCATTCCGTGATTAAAGGGTTTAGGGGCTAGTAGCCCTTAAGAAAACCAAGAAAATAACAAAGAAAATAGCCGCGAAAGCCAAAAGGTTGAAACGTCCGTCCTTCCGTTCGTCCGTTCTCTTTTGTGTCGCACGTAACTCAAAAAGTATTTGACCTAGAGTCATGAAACTTTACAGGAATGTTTATCAGCATGTGTAGTGGTGCACCTGAGTATTTTCGTCTGGAAATATTTAGTATATTTAGAGTAATTGCTCTTGACTTAGTAAAATTTTGCAATTTTCATCTTGTGTCGCATGTAACTCAAAAAGGATTTGACACAGAGTCATGAAACTTTAAAGAAATATTGATCAGCATGTGTAGTTGTGCACCTGGGTATTTTCGTCTGGATTTATTTAGTATTTTTACACTTATTGACCTTGACTTAGAATTTTTTTGCAATTTTCAACTTGTTTTGAGTTATTCCCCTTTGTTCTTTTTAATACTATTTTGTCGGAGCTTATCTCAAACAATATTTGAGGTATCAACTTGAAACTTCATAGGTGAATGGGTCTCGTTGAGGAGGAATGTAGTGCACAAAAATAACAACTCTACCTTGCATACATTTTTAGTTATTGCCCTTTGTAATTTTTCAAAATTATTTTTTTTCCAGAGCATAAAAGCCTTTGAGATATCAACATGAAACTTCATAGGTGCATAGATCACACTCAGGAGATGTGCAGTGCACAAAAATGATAACTCTACCTTTCATAATTTTTGAGTTATTGCCCTTTGTTATTTTTTATACTTAATTTTTCACCTGAATGGAGGATAACTCAAAAGTGTTTGAGATGTCAACATGAAATGTCATAGGTGGATAGATCTTATTGAGAAGGAATGCTGTGCACAAGAATGAAAACTCTTCCCTATACAATTTTTGAGTTAATGCCTTTTGTTCTTTATCATACTATTTTTTTCCGGAGCTTATCTCAAAAAGTATTTTAGGTATCAACTTGAAACTCCATAGGTGTATGCATCTCATTAAGAAGAAGAAGGAGTGCAGTGCACAAAATGATAATACTACCCTGCATAATTCTTGAGTTATTGCCCTTGTAATTTTTCAAAATTTATTTTTGTCCAGAGCATAACTCAAAAGGCCTTTGAGATATCAACATGAAACTTCATAGTTGCGTAGATCTCACTCAGGAGGTGTGCAGTGCACAAGAATAATAACTCTACCTTTCATAATGTTTTAGTAATTGCTCATACTTAATTTTCACCTGAGTGGAGCATAACTCAAAAGTGTTTGAGAAGTCAACATCAATTGTCATAGGTGGACATATCTTATTGAGGAGGAATGCTGTGCGCAAGAATGATAACTCTTCCCTTTATAATTTTGAGTTATTGCCCTTTGTTCTTTTTCCTACTATTTTATCCGGAGCTTATCTTAAAAAGTATTTGAGGTATCAACTTGAAACTTCATAGGTGGATAGTTTTTACTAAGGAGGGGTGCAGCATACAAGAATGATAATACTACCCTGCATAATTTGTCAGTTATTGCCCTTTGTTATTTTCAGCCATCAGTATTCACATAGGTTTCAAATCTGTTATCACATCAGCCATGAGTTTTCATTACCAAAACACCTCTTAAAATTGAATTATTCTGCTCTACTACATACTCATTCTTCCACTGAGCAAACATATTCGGTGGAGGATGGCAATGTTGACATGGCTCTTGTTTTCGATATTTTTGCCCATATAAATGTTTTTGCCCATATTTTTACAGTCTTTTTTTGTGTTGTTCTCGGCATAAGCAAAATCATGTTTAAGTGAGTGTTCACTTTTTAGCATTTCAAAATTACATTGGTCAATGGTGGCATAGAAATTAAGTGTTTGAAGCTATTTCGTATACTGTCGATTTTCTAGAACATGATTTTCATATGACCGTAAAGAACAAAGGAAAACATGCCTTAGAATGTGTTTGTCTCTCCATATCACAAAACTTTTCGTTATTTCTTATTGTTGTAAAAAATTATGCAATAAAGTTATTTTATCATATTTTGTATAATTATCATTTATATAAATAAATGTATAAAATATTATATCAATATAAATAAAAGTATTCATTTTATAAATATTTAAGCTACTGGTTTTACGAAACACATACATATTATGGAAGCACTTCAAACCCTTACCATTTGGACAAACTTGAATGTATAGGAACAGAAGATCATATAAATGACTGTTTATACGACGTCCGGCAGACTTGTTCGAGTAGTTATCCAATAGGCGTTGAATGCAGTAAGTGTCAGTAAAAGACGTGACGTTTGTTATAGTTTTTTGTGAACAAATGAAGAAAAAATTGATGAGCGCACAGTCTGTTTTAAACTTTCAATGATTGAAGCAAATATTATAATTGAAATGTTGTTGTATTAAATCATATTGCTCAGTGAAGAGTTACCTCGTAAGTACTTATGATACAGTGATGAGAGCATAAAAAGGTACAATTATACTGAAATATTGTCACATGCGCTTTTATGACAGGTTATCCGTACAATATAACTGAGGTACGTCTTGTGGAAGGAACAGGTCCGTATGACGGCCGTGTAGAAGTCAAGATCAATGATGACTGGGGTACTGTGTGTAGTAGATATTACTATAATAGTTACATCAGCTCAAATGCAGCCAACACCTTATGTAAATCAATGAATTTAAAGTAAGTATCACGGTAAAATGCATGTTTTATGCTACAAAAATGAACTTTATGGTATGTGACAGCTGTAAAAAGTTGTTCTCTACTTCATATCAGTGTTGTTATTATCTCCAGGATAATTAATTTTGATGAGGAGTTAGTATCACTTAAGACGCGAATGAAATATGTTGCACATTACTGTCTCAAGTATATTGTCTCTAATGCATTAACAGACGCATTAAAACCGATTTTTTTCTTTATGAATCTCCATTTTTCCAGATTTTTGATATAATCAAAGCATCGCAAGACTATGATTTGATTAAGGTATAAAACATAAGGAAGCAAATAAGTTGGTGTTGATTTTCTGTACATCAAATGGTTAAGCTGCTAGCATGATATGGAAACATCTTTATATGTTAATAACGTAGAGCACATTATTTATTTTCTATACAAATGTCATATCAGAGTGAGCCAATATAGATTTTACAGATTTAGGTGTATATGATATATTTTCTATTTTAGATTAACTCACTATTTTACACGTTCGTCTATATACGGGCAAGGAACAGGTTATATCTATGCTGGTTATCTTGGATGTACAGCTACGAATAATCATACCAGTCAGTGTAATGTTCTACCCCCAAGAAAACAATTTTGCTCGCACTATTACGATCTGGCACTGGTATGTACACGTAAGTATTACATGTATATGTCATTAATGTTTGAGTTTTTAAACACAAACAGCCATCGAATTCAAATCAGTCATCAATACACTTATCCTTTTATTTGTTACCGGTACAGAGAAATCGAATTTCGACTACTGACATCAGACGACAAGAAAGACATGTCTATGAGGCTAATGTACAAATATAATGTATTTCAAATTGTATTCAATTATATATTCAACTGTCACGTTATGCTATCACGTCCGAACACATACAATATGAATTTTCTTTCGAGTTAAATCTGAGTTTTATACATGCAGTCAATAATTTTATTGATATAATTGTATCGTACATCTTATTAAAGTTCTCTTTATGCAGATATGTTTAATCACTTTCAAATAATCCTTCCTTTACCATAAGCTAAGATATTCAATAATTTACTCTGTATAAAAAACCCTTATCTTATTGTTTCTTGGTGCAGGTAAGAACACAAACGTGCGTTTATATATTTTATTAACCAGTCACAACTCATTCATACAGAGTTAATAAATAGAGTAGAGTACGTATATTTACTAAGCATGCGCAGTTAACATTATTACTAAAGCATCATTGGAATATATGTACTTATTATGTAAATCAAATACTGTTACAGCTTTTCTCTTTTTCAAAAATAAGAAGATATTTCAAATATTATTCAGTTCAGAATACTCAATCATTAAAAAAATGATGACTAAGAAAAACTAAAAAAAAAACATTAAATCATTATATCAAAATCACAACTGTCGGAAAAATAAGCTGTTACTGGTAATAACAAACATTTATACACAGCCTCACATTTTGTACAGTTTGAATATTATGTAACATAGTCCTTGTATTTCACTGGCATACGAATAAGGCCGTTATTCCATTTATACGGGAACGTGTAGCGTGAACAAGAAGCGCGAACGTGAAAAATCAACCAACGATTTTCTATTGTATGTATTCTTTATCGGCCCGAGCGCGGCGTGAGCGTAAAATGCGAATTTATGGCATGTGACCGTTTAACGCGAGCGTGAAACTGATCGCTACATGTAGTGAATTTTCACGTTCAACCCCGTCATTCACGAAAGGTCCTCTGTCTATGCCAGATGCTACAGAAAACTTATTGAAGCAATCAGAAATTGCCCTATTCTGTAGGACCAGTCCCAAAAGGAGTACAGGACTTCTGGAATAAGTTTAAATCAAAATATAATTCTAACTGTAGCCAATCTATTGACATAAATGATTTCATAAACATTTAAAGAATTGACCTCAGAATTAAAAATTGATGAGTATGTACACAGTGTAGATTTTTTAATGATTTTGAGTCTTATGTTGAATTAAATGAAGCTTTTATATTGACATATTTTCTTTCTCAACAAAAAAAAATGGACGAAACAATTGTTTTCACGCTATCCAGATGAAAGGAATAGCGTGAGCGTGAAAACTCACGCCTCACATTCAAGTTTCACGCTCACGCTAAACGTTCACGTCGCGCTCCCGTATGAAAGCCCCTATCTGGTTTTAATTTCGGATTGTCCACCAGTTGATTTAACGGGAGGTTCAACGGGAGGTTACTCATTACTGCTAGCATTCGTTGGTAAATCAACAGTTTCTTCCCTTTTCCTTCTCATTGAAGTGTTCGTTAGTTTTTCTTATATGAAATGAACGTGTTTGTGGCTTTCTATCAACAATGTCCTTTTCCCAGGTTTTGATTCGTTCCAGGGGTTGTATTCTCACAGTTTCACCGGTTCTTAAACGACCTAACGACTTCGCATTTCTGTCATAATAACGCTTTTGCCTTTGCTTACTTCTGCCAAGATGCTCTTCAATATTAAATGGTATACTCGGTTTAAAATTCAAAGATCTTTCCGGAAGCAATGTTCTAGTTTTTCTGTTCATGAGATGTTGAGCTTGACTGTAATTTGTTGATTTCTGGGGTGTTTTCCGAAAGTTCAATATTGCTAGCATTGGATCCGTGTGAGAATGCTAAGCTTTTTTATGATATGTTTCGCCGTTTTTACTGCGTTTTCCGCCTTTCCGTTGGACTGCGGATATCTAGCTGATGAAAATATATGATTAAAATTCCATTTTCTTTCGAACGATTTGAGTTTCTCAGATTATATAACACTTGCTTGATCGGAGACAAGACGTTCTGGAACTTTATGTCTAGCAAAAAATTGTTTCAGTTTGCCAATGATTTCTTTCGAGTTCGATTCGTATAGCCTGTCAATTTCAAAAAAATTACTAAAATAGTCAACAGTGACGAAATAATTTTTTCCTTTAAACAAAAAGACATCCGTTCCAACTTTTGCCCATGGCCTATCCAGTATATCATGAATGATCAATGGTTCTTTTGTTTGTTTTCTTTCTAAAGATTGGCAAGTGTCACACTAATTGATGTAATCTTTTATTTGCGATGCCATATTTGACCAGTACACACATGATCTTGCTCTTTTCAAACATCATTCAACACCAATATGTGAATGAATTTGACCTAGAATTTTTGACCGCATGGCACATTTATCTCCGCGAAATTTGAAACCATTATCCTCTGATAATTCATCTCTCAGTGCAAAGTACGGAGAAACCTCGTTAGGATGGACACCGTGCCAACCAAAAAGCATTTTTTACATTTCATTTTGAAAATACTTTTGCAGAATTAATTTCAGACAACACATCTTCAACCACTGGTAGCAGAAAATGACTTCTTTTCAAAGCAGTGTTCAAACATTTTGGATCTATACATATTCTGAGCGCATTTGATCTTTTCTTCACAATTACTAAACTTGATATCCAGTCTGTTGGAGTGTTAACTTTTGTTGCTCTTGCTCTCAAGTTTCATTAGTTCTTTTTTAAGTTTTTCTTTCTTTGCAATAGGAACCTTTCTGAGTGGCATTTTCACAGGCTTCACTGTATCATCAAATTCCAAGTGTAATTTCCCCTGAAATCGTCCTTCGCCCTCAAATACCGACGAATATCTTGTTCAATTGCTTCCATAGTTACTTTAGAGTTCTTATAAACACTGACGGGCCAAATGTTATTATATTGTATCTTAATTAAATCCATTTTCTGAATTGCCTCAGATCCTAATAACGGAACAGCCGTATCATTTTCAATTACGATAAACCGCACCTCATATCGTTTTCTTGTCCTGGGATTTTTCTAAACTATTTTTCACGTACCACAAGCTTTCATTTTTGATTTGTCATACATTGATAACGTAACGTTAGTTTTCCTCATTATCTCGTCTCGCAAGTACAACCTTGGTAAAATATTTGCCGTAGCTCCGGTGTCTAATTGAAATCTCACAGTTTTGGTTTTGATTAATTTCTAACATGTTTGCAAAATTTTCGACTGCACCTCAACATCAAAACGTCCTCTTCACTTCCCGACGATGGGCTGAAATTTAAATGTCTCACATGAGGTCTTTCTGATTCCACTTTGTGATGTTTACGCGATTTGCATTCCGAAGCAAAATGATTAAATTTGCCACAAAACCTGCACTTTTATCCAAAAGCCGGACACTTTCCTTTAGCACATTTTTTTTACAATAATTGCACTTTTTCTTTTTAATTTGATCACTTTTGGCAAGCAGTGCTTTACGACTTGCACATCTTCGCCTAGAGATGCATGATTAGACAACGACTTTACTTTTGAGGAAGATGCTTCTGCTGCTCTGCACATGTCTATGCATTTATCTAAGGTCAATTTATCATCCTGTAGTTATTGTAAATTCATAACCCATTATCTCGAATTCCAAGAACTAGCATATCAGTTATTAATCAATTCTCTAAGTCACCATAGCTGCATGTTCTTGCAAATTTCCTTACTTTACTAACATAAGTGTCGAATGTTTCTGTCACACCTTGTACGCACGTGTGAAAGACGTAACGTTTGAATGTCACGTTAGTTTTGCCAAGACAGAACGTTTCGACTTTATCAATGACAATGTCGATATCGTCATTGTCTGTTCATTTTCAAAGTCAAAACTGTCAAATATATCCATTGCTTCAGACCCTATGCATGTTTAAATGTTGCTGCTCTTTGATCCTTTGGTTTGCAATGAAGTCCAGACGCCTTCTCGTAATTAATCCAGCCACGTCCGAATTTCTTTCAGTTTGTTGATATATTTCCGTCTAAATCTAATTTCTGCGGGAATGGAATCAACGATGGCACAGCATTTAATGGGTATGCAGTGGGTGATGGCGGTTCGGCCCGTTTATCGGCACTCATAATTGTGCTGATATGTCTAAATATTAAACTTTTTTACTTTAATTAAAATATTTATAAATCCACCACTATACAAATTATGCTTTAAGAAAAGGGTCGCTTTTAGTCCTTTTTGCGTATATAAGCAGTCTTATACTTCTGACACCATGTTTCCTGGTGCAGGTAAGAACACAAACGTGCGTTTATATATTTTATTTAGCTAGTCACAACTAATTTCATAGAGCAGAGTACGTATATTTACTAAGCATGCGCAGTTAACATTATAACTAAAGCATCAAGGGAAGATCTGTACTATTTATGTAAATCAAATACTGTGACACTTATCAAACTAACGCTTAAAATTTATTCCCAAAACAGCTTGTGGTGAAATTACTATACAACATGGCTCATTTGAATCTTTCAATGGTACCGAAATGACAGCTAAGTGCAACGTTGGATATCAACCAGAGAAAATAACATTTGATTGTCTTGCAAACGGGACTTGGATACAAAATGCCATATGTTCATCAAAATATTGTACGTAGTTTTATCGGTATTTCCTTATCGGAAAAACGTTTGTCTCTTTTTCTATCTACTTATGTTAGCATCGTAAAAAGAGTACACATTTGCGTAGACTTGCTTGCATCAATTAGTTTATGATCTTTTTTTATGGTTTTTGAACGAATAAACCATATTTAAAGTACACTATCATCTTGTTTCCTTACTCCGCTGAATAAAGAATCATACGTATTCGGAAATTCATTCATCATTTATGTTTGAACGGTATTGATAGCTAATGTAAGTGTTACAAGTGTGCAAGAAATTCTATTGAACAGTTTTAATTTTGCCTATGCGTCTATATGAAAACTCCCTAAAACGTCTTCAATGCCGCAAATTTTATCAAGGATCGGTAAAGTACAGTTTACCCTTACTTATTCTCTTGTTTGTGTAATTATTAATTATTAAATATGTTTTAATTATAGCTTATCCGTTAGAAATAGAAAAAAGTCATTTGAAGCTTGTAAACAGCTATGGTCGTCACGAAGGTCGTGTTGAGATTCAAGTTGATGGTATTTGGGGAACCATATGTAGCATCAACTTTACTATAGCAGAGGCGAACGTGATATGTCACATGTTCGGATTAGAGTATGTTTCTAATCATTTTGTATCTTTTTTATTTTTTGAATAAAAAATACTATATAGTTAAGCACAAAAACAGAATAAAACATATTTGTTTTCGGTGTTAGTTGACATTCATTTCATATCGTGAACTTTAACAAATATTTTCAAGAACTTAAAGTTATGCCACACGTGAGAATACTGTTCTGAAGCTCACGATATAAATTTCATCTTACGCTCAAAATAAATATCCTGTACGTATTATATAAATACAATGCAGCATGAAACAACAACGAAGAAGAAATTCACAAAGCATGTTAATCGTTAAGATCGGAAGTTTATTTTCGATTTAAAACAGTATCAAATATTCACTGTTCTGTTGTTCGGCTTCCGTACCGAATTAAACACATAACACATGTAATCGAAGCTACAATGTCCTCTCAATAAACTTGGCGGCTTTGCGTACTGTAATATCAATATTTTTAATCAGTAATTATAATTATAACGTAAATGAAAAACGACCTTTTGATAAACACAACTTATGTTGACAATTTAATCCTACGCGCAGTGTTTGTGAAAGAAACATTAAATAAAACATTGTGAAATATGCGTTTAAAAATCAAACTTATGATTCAGAATATAACTAGAACTATCGCTGAATGCGCTTCATACCCCCACCAATGTCCTTGACAGACTTGGAAAGGTGGTTAAGGGAATAACTTTAGTGGCACAAATACATATACATAAAAAGAAATTATCTCTGGTGAAAAAAGACAAATTGTACAGGTTATAGTATAAATATATATTGCGAAATCATGTTCGAAATAGTTACAAGTAACCTTTCATTTTCCCAATGTACTAAAACAAACAAAAGCAGTGAAGTTAAGAAAATAGCATAATTATGTCAAAATGTTATTAAGAGTGAAAAACTTTGCATACTGAGCTTACTTGTGACACTTCATATAATATAGTTTCAATTGAATTTTTGTTCTGGTTTAATAAATATTGTAGTAAATTAATTTAAAGACATAACTTTGTCAAAATACAATACAAAGTTATCCCCCACTATTTTTAGTTTTGAAACTTGACCTGCATATCTTACTTGCGACACACCGTATATATTTGAAGTTTCAAATGATTATTTTTCTAGCTTTAGAAATATTCAAGGGTAAGATGGATTCTACACATTGCCTAGTTGGGGTGAACGTTTGAGTCAGGTTTGAAGAAAATCCTTCCATAAGTATAGAATTTATAGAGCGGACATGACATATTGTCTAGTATTGATTGTATGTAAATATAAGGACTTAAAAAGGGGCATTACTTTATAAAAATGCAATACAGAGTTATAAAACTTGGCCTGCATATTTGACTTGTAACACTTCATATATATGTTAAGTTTCAAGCAAATAACTGTGCTGGTTTCAGAAATATTCAAGTACATGTTAAAATTTAAGAACATTTTCTATGTCAATTTTTGACCTTCAAGTGTGACCTTCACCTTAAGTCGGCACAAAGGTAATATTGTTTTCTGCATATAACCTTGTTGAGGTTAACATTTGAGTAAAGTTTGAAGAAAATTCTTCCATAAGTATAGGATTTATAGAGCGGACATGACATATGTCTAATATTTGATTGTATGTAAATTTGAAGACATTAAAAAAATATCGAAATGCAATACAGAGTTATGAAACTTGACATGCATATTTTAATTGTGACACTTCATATATATTTTAAGTTTCAAGCAAATACCCTGTCAAATTTCAGAAATATTCAAATACATGTTAAAATTAAAGAATATTTTATAAGTAAATTTTTGTCCTTCAAGTGTAACCTTGACCTTAAGCTGGCAAAAGGGTAACATAGGTTCTGCACATAACCTTGTTGAGGTGAACATTTGAGCCAAGAATGAAGAAAATCTTTCAATTAGTGTAGGACGTACAGAGCGGACACGACATACTGTCTTATATTTGATTGTTTGATATTTGACCTTCTATTGTGACCTTGACCTTGAGCTGACACATGGACAACATTGGTTCTGCACATCCCCCATGTTGAGGTGAACATTTGAGCCAAGTTTGAAGAAAATCCTTTAATTTGTTTACTATTTATAGAACGGACGATAATGCCCGACTAACGCAACAAAGCGAATCCATTATAGCCCAATCAAATTTTGTGGTGGGGGTATAATTATGTACTGTTCTGGTGGAAATTAAACTATGTTGAACTTTTATTAACAGAGCAAGTCAAATGTACACAGATACAGGGGGCGACGGCCCGGTTTTTATTTCAAATCTTCAATGCAATGGAAGTGAAACACACATCAACAATTGTTCTTACGATGTTGAAACTGATTGCTTGTACACACAAAGTGCAGGAGTCTACTGTACAGGTATATTTTTTTCATTTCATATTCTTTTTCTCTGGTGTATGATATGGTTAACATTCAATATTCTATCATTGACGAATAACGCTTTTGGAAGAACTAAAGTCTTATTGCACTATATAATAATAGCCAGTATACGCGACTCAAATATTTTTTTGTTACATATAAAGAAACGTTTAAATAAAAAAGGATCTTTTAAGCGAAAAGTCATTGACTCAGATGTGTTATATAATATTACAGGGTATCAGCTGAATATTACTGGATGGCGACTGGCGGGTACAAATGGACCTTATCATGGAAGAGTCGAATTAGAAGTAAATGGCACATGGGGAACAATCTGTTCGCGAGGATTCGGTGGCTGGCATTCAGCAAATGTTATATGCAATATGTTTGGATTACAGTAATTATTCATGCTTATTTCAGACTACTCGTTTTAATCTACCGGGTCTTCAAAGAGAAAAAAGGAATTAGCCCCTTGAAAAAACTGTAATATTGTTCTTCATTACAAAGAATGAAATATTTAATGTCTTTCTCTCTCAACAAAGAAAATAACTCTCAACAAAGAAAATAAAATTGTTATGAATTGCTACCTTGCAGATATAACAACTACGAGTGATGTCCGGAAAGTTCATATACATGTTCATTTTTTAATGTAAAACAATACATACGCTGTACAAATTTTGCCAGCATAAATATACATATCTAGCGAACACATTAAACAAAAAATTACTGAACTGTGACTCACGTTTGTATTTTAAAAGTATTTACATACAACATTTATACATCATCATGGAGCACTTAGACAACGTCAACGGCGTCAAATTAAATTCATTTTTACCAACTATTTAATTTCTTCCGATTTCATCACCCATGGCTGACGTACACTTAATACATGTTATGTTCCTTTGCTATTACTTCATGAATTTCATATTTAAAATTATCATTAAAAATAAAGATGTCACTGGTTCCCATACTGTGTGTGAGATGTCTGCCTTTTTCAAAAAATGTCGTAACGCAATCTACAATATTTCGGGGCCATGCTACTTTTGGTCGTCTGGAGCGCTCTTATACCAAATTCTGTCATCACCGCTTCTTAATTTTGTTTGACATTTAAACACAAGTTGCCTTTAACATTTTACGGTTGATTTTGTTTTTAAGTTATGAAGTTAAATATCATAACGTTGCTCCGTCCGTGAATTTGACGACATTTTTGCAACACAAATTTACGCACCTTCATTGCCTATAATCGCCGTTCACAAGCTGTTTATTTACGTATGACGTCATAATTTAAACTAAATATCATGTAATAGTATCATATGATGTCACAAAATTAAAACGAGAGATTGCATTAAAATTGTAACTTTTAAAAACTTATTTTTCGAGTAGCTATTATCATGAAATCAAAGTGCTCCGTGATTCGTTGATCATGTTGCCATGGTGATCGGCGCTTTGCGAATATTACTGTCATCATGTTTTTTAATTTAGAAATATGTAGCAGATATATACTTTAGCATATTGATATGACTGCTGATAATACTTTTATAGCCTTGGCTACAATCTTCCCGGACAGCCCTCGTACTATCATAGTGCACAAAATGGACAAGGAGAAGGACCGATATACATAGAGAGTCTATACTGTGCCAGAACATCCGATACACATATAAACGAATGCAGATATGTTGCAAACAACTACTACGGTGCATGTTCGCATGCACTAGATTTGTCAGTGAAATGCTATGGTAATGTCACGATTCGTTAACGTTATTCATTTTCATATTAATTGGTTTACGTTTCAAAAAATGCAGATTGCTAAATAGATTTGTCAATGAATCATTAGCTTATAATCATATAAAATAGTAGGTTTTATGAAATATTATTTATTAAAGACAGCTATACACTGCGATTTTGCATGACAATGAATCAATTGTTTGTACATCGAGCGAGTAAAACATATAGATTTAGTAAGCCTTTTTTTCCAAAAAAATATATTGTATACATTTTGATAGACATATTCATATTGTTACATAAAAGAATTTTATTATTAGGTCCGTTTCTGAATATAACGGATGTGCGATTAACAAATGGAACAGGGTCTAACGATGGTAGGGCAGAAATCAAAATTAACGACACTTGGGGAACTATTTGCGATTCCAATTTTGCTTTAAGAGATGCGGAGGTGTTTTGTAGCATGCTTGACCTAAAGTAAGTTACCACAGTTATATAAAAATCAAAAAGAAAATCGTGTTTACTTTGGATGAAAACGATGAAAAAAGATCATTTGTAACAGAATGTAACTTGTACACACATATGGGCTTTTTTGTAAACATTACCTACGGCTGATAGAAGATTTTCTTCTCTATATATTTCCTGGGAATATCTTCCAAAATATTTCAAATGTTAGAGAGATGACAACAAATTGTGAATAAGAATTATACCAGTTTGTTTTGGAAATTATTTCCTAATCAGTACATATTTGTGATTTATCATGTAAATGTATGCCCTTTACAAATGATACAGAAAATTCTTGCAATTCAAATATTGGAATAATCAAAATTATGGTTATTAAAAATCGTTTTAGGACTTCAAATATTGTTCTTTAATAAATTAAAAAAACCTTTATATACTCGAATAAAAAATGTTCATAACTTTTCTTTTGTCATTTACTCGAGAAATAAATATGAAAATGTTTAAGTATTTCTTTTTTAAAATTACTAGGGCGGTGAGATTCTTTACCGGGGCATTATATGGAGTAGGAAGGGGGCCTGTTTATATTGATCAACTTTTCTGTGATAGTTATGATGTTGTTCTAAGTGATTGCCAGTATTTGTTTCTTAATGAATGCAGTCATAGCAGAGATGTTTCTATAGTATGTAATGGTAGGTCATTTTATTGTTTTTGTTTCTTAATAAGTGTGATCATCTATTGTAATGGAATATCTGTTCATCGATTCTGTTGCTTGATAACACATCTGCGGATGTTTCTCATTTAAAAGTTTTACCATTTCATGTTTAAATGTTGAATTCTGCTTAAGCCGGTGCTAGCGGCGTGGACAGTAGTTTACACTTTACAGTACTGTTTATGAACAGGCTCAAACAAACTGAGCCTGCAGCATTTCAATTTTGCCGTTTTCTACTAACATTAGGGAATTTTTTTCTCTATTCTCAATTTGATTAAGAACATCTACAAACTGCTTCTTTTGTGTAATATGATTATCTGATTTAAAAACGCTGTCTGTATTTTAGATAGTGCTAAATATGTGCCTAAGATAATTAGTAAATTCATCTAAGGGAATTCAAACTCAAGAAAATACTTAGTTGGTAAAAAAAAGATCTCTCAATCAACAGCTTATTGAAACTTAAGCCTATATAATTCTTTTGGACTTTTCCAAACAATGCAGCTAGTGAGCATTGAGAATTTTTTCTGATTAGGTCTGTAAATGAGAGATTCTAAATAAACTATATGACTATATAAACTCCTGAATGACGGTATTATAATATAACTCATGTTATTATTTTAGTAAATGAAGAGCCGGAACAAGTATATAACCTTAACATTTAATATATATTCTATTCATTTAAGAGTGCGGGGAGCCAGACAACTCTCATTGGGATGCTGGATATTTTACATACAATGGTTCAACTTTGTATGCTGACTGCTCCTACTATAAAACATATTTAGGCATATTAAAGATGACTTGTGACAATAATACACAGACATGGAAAACAGAAGGAGAATGTCAAGAATACGGTATATACAAAATTAATGCACTCATTGAAAATGATTAATAATAAAATGGCTTTAAAATCAATTGCAAACAATCATGATGTATTGATTAAATGAGAGATAAAGTAATAAAACAAAACCATGGTTGTTATTATGACAAGTAACATTTCTTGTTACAACATAATTGTCAGAAAGTAAGAATGAATGAATGAATGTAACCGAGTGCTGGGAGCAAAATAGTAATATTATTTTTTTTAATTTAATAAATGTATATTTCAAAAGAAATAACTGCATGAAGGGTTACTTTTTTTCAGGATATCCATTAGATATCACTGAAATAAAACTGTCAGGAGGGAACTCAACGTCAAATGGTAGGGTGGAAATAAAATCTTTTGACACTTGGGGAACAGTATGTGACCATGGTTTCGGTAAAAATGAAGCCGACACAATATGTGCAATGATTGGTTTCCCGTAAGAAACAATTATCTATTTCTTTTATTGAATATCAAAAACATAATGTTGAATATCAATAAGGGATACAGCCAATGCTTGAATGCATTGCTCTCAAGAATGATCAAATTGTATTTTTGTTTAAATGTCTCTTAGAAATCTTAATACATGTACTTGAAATTCTCTTAAAGATATACATACATGTACTCATAACTATATGTTTTATTATTTCTAATAACAATTTACTTGTACAACACTAAATAGGCGTAAAAGCTTGAAAGTCAAACGAAATTTAATTTATCATTATTTTGACACTCTAATCAAAATGTAGCTCCATCAACATACGCAAATATTTGTTTCCAGTCCTGCGGTCTCATTTCTCCACGGCGCCTACTTTGGCGAAGGTTCTGGTCCAATATTTGTTGATGACTTACAATGTGAAGATAATGCTACACATATCAACAATTGTAGTTACGACACCTATGATAATTGCTATCACTTCAACGACGTTTCTGTTGTTTGCACTGGTAAGAGCAATAAATTAAAAAAGCTACTATTAGGTATTTCAAAGTTTTGTTAAACGAAAAAAATTAACATCATTTGACAAAGAGTATGCAAGTAATTTTTTCAAGAATCATCACAAAACGTACCGTTTTCCATAGCAATTTCCCATTTTTCTGACAAGAATTTTGCAAAGCCAATAAGAAATTCATATATACGCTGTAGATATGTTTTGTGCAGTTCAAATTGCCGGGCTTAGTGCCTTACTCTTATATTGTTTTAGTCTTATATTTATTTCCGTTTTCATGATTTTGTTATACATACAAATGTTTTTAATTAATTCATTTCACATGTAACACATTTGTAGGTATTACAATGAGGTATCATAAAATACTTGCATTTATTAAAATGTTAATTTTTGATCAAAGATTTGTTTTTAAGAATGCCCCTCACCAAAGCCTACAAATGGAAGCATAAATTCCTCATCTACACATTACCTTGCTGCTGTGACCGTCACGTGTGACGACGGATACAATTTGATTGGTGATTCTGAAATACGTTGTAAACTTGATGCGACATGGAGCAGCAGTCCAACTTGCAAATTGATAGGTATGCCATAAGATAATCAGCTATCCATCGAATGATCGTCGTTTTTATCAGTAACATACGGCAAAAGTTAAATGATCTAGATATTATTCTTTGAAACGAATTTATATAGGAGAAACATCATTTGGAAACAACGAAAAGCGTTTTGAAATAAATAATATGGCCACAAGAACAAATATCAAGGCCATAGCTAAGTCACACAAAACACTTAATTACACAAGTTAAAATCCCACAAAGCATTAAGACTGTCTGAAAATGCAACCAGTTTAACAAGAAACTAATTCATTTTCCCTCAAATTTCTCTTAAGACTGGCGGTCGACCCAACACCTGAGTTTGGATCTTATCAACACAACATCTACAACCAAATGGAAAACTGTTGCTGATGGTTTCATGTGACGAAGGACATGAAATACAAGGTGAAACTGTAATAATTTGTCAACCAAGTGAGGAATGGACAGATAACCCCTCGTGTATCATCAAAGGTATAATACTATTGGATGTCTTATCTTAATCATTTTTATTGACATTTGAAAAATGGATTTGCTTTGGCAAAAGAATTGAAATAAGTATTTGTTGCCAATACAATTAATTTTTTTAGATTGTGAAAAGCAATTTATGTAAATGAAATAGCATAAGCACTATCTCAGTATATCATTATATTGGAACATTGTATATTTCATTTTGTGATGATTCCAATAAGGCAATGGGTTGTATCTCATGTCTCCTTGTTTGCTTTTATTTCAGATTGTGGTATACCAAATCCAGTCAATGCAGAAGCGACACTTTCCGGGAATAAAACAACATACGAAGAAACTGCTGTTGTTTCTTGTTACGATGGGTATCAACCAGGTGGTAGTTATATTGTTTCCTGCTTAGCTAATGGTACTTGGGAAACCTGGCCTGAATGCACAGTAGTTGGTAATTATGTTAGCAAAGGTTCTAGAAAAAAATTATTCAGTCTTTGAATTGTACTTGATCTATTTATTATCTGGTTACGAATCAGAAAACGCTGTTTTTCAAAAATGTTGCTGTAATGGACATCTCAATCAGATTAATAGAAAGAAGTAAAACTAATTAAGGTAAAATAGAAACCTTTATAAAATGACAATAATAGAATTAATCTACATGCAATTTGTACGATTTCAAAACATTTATTTTGACGATGCATTTCTTAACGGCGCATGAATGTAAATGTTTTGAAACTGGTTCAGAATTTAGAAAATGGATTGCAAATTAATGCATCTGATAGAGGACTACACGAGTACTGATGAGCAAGAAACTATAATAATCTTTTGATTTTATGCAAATGTTGTTAAAGGACCTGGACTGTATTCTAAAATTCTCATTGATGAGATACAAGGGAGTAAAATTATAAAAGTATAAATTGTGTTGTGTTGATTAAACTTGTATATTATTCTTAGATTGCGGGGACCCAGCACCCAAGAAAGGAAAATCAAATGTCACAGTGTTCACTTATGGCACTATTGCCAAAATTGAGTGTGAACCAGGTTTCAACATATCTGGGGATTCCGTGATTACTTGTCAGTCTGATGGAACATGGAGTGATAATCCAGTTTGCGATACATCGGGTGAGTGTTTGATCTGTCAATTTTGTGAATGCCATTCTCAATATTTCTTGAATATACGTAGTAATATTGTCTTTAAGATAATACGAGTACAATTTCGGTGACAAAACACATATTGAACTCGCTTTTGTCCAATAGAAAATTGAATGATATCAAGTGGTTTTGAAAGATATAAGTTTGGTCCAATCTTTAATTATTGGAAAGATACTGGTATTCATACGACATGCTGTTCTCGACAGTTTTTCTCATTGCATTAGACATAAAACGATTAAACTGTCACTAGACATAACCTTTGACATTACTGCTGTACTGGACGGAAAAAATCAAAGTTGAAGGTCGTCGTCTACGATGACCTTCCCGTGATCATCTTCTTAACTGAGTATCCTTTAATTCTAGCTCAATGTGAAAGACATTCTTGCACATAATGTTCTTTTAATTATTTATTTAAGCCTGGAATGATAGTTTTTTCATATATCATATCATATCATTTATTCACAAACTGGATAAGCAATGTCATTTATGGCAAAAATTTGCGTATTTTGTCAGACTGTGGCGTATTGGCTGTACCTAATGGCGAGGTTGATGATTCATTTGGCACAACTATTGGTTCAAACGTAAGCGTGACTTGCAACTTGGGTTACAAATTGATTGGTCCGAGTCAAATAACTTGTACACAAAAAGGCTGGAATGAAACTGTTGCGTGTGAGATTGAAGGTATAAAGGAACATCTTTTTATGTTAAATGTTTTTTCTTCTTAAAGGAAAAAACTGGAAATTGTTTATGAAAAAAGGCTCTAGAATGATATATTATTTACATTTTAGTGAATTAATTCTGATAAAATTAGTATATATAAATGTCTTTAATAAATACCTTTTATTCTCGTTAGTGTTCTTGTTTTGATTAAGTTTAACGTCGCACCAACACAGTATAGGTCATATGGCGACTTTCCAGCTTGTCTGTTTAAGGAAAAATTTTAGGTGCCCTATCTGTACGTTAAAAAGGTATCAGAGAAGCAGGCACCTGGGTAAGCTAGCTGAATAGCTTTCTCATGTAAAGACATGTGGCAATAGTAAACAATAGCACATATTAAACAACTATTTGACTACTTTGTTGTGTTAATAATGACATATTGTCCAAATTGATAAAGCCACAGCTTAAAATTGACCTCTGTCAACTTTTTACATTATATGAAAATTAAATGTGGTTTCTGATATCTGTTTTCTTTTAAGATTGTGGAAACGTATCCTTAGCAAATGGAGAAGTAATATTTAAATCTCAAAGTACTTTGTTTGGAGACATTGTGGACGTGTCATGTGACACAGGATATAACTTAAATAGCAGCAATGTGATAACTTGCTTATCAAATGGGCAATGGAGTGAAACTCCTTATTGCAATATTGTTTGTACGTTCATTTAGAATTTGATGGATAAGTTTTTTTTTAAAGAAACATTGATAGTTAAAAAATTAAAAAATAATTACAAATCAACAAATAATAAATAAATAAAACCGCTATATTAATTTTTGTAAGTCTTAGAGTAGAATCTTGAATTTCTAAATTGCTTGTTATATTACCTGAAATGGCGGAAGATGTGCCGCTTTTTATTAAACTTTACAATGTAACATATTTGTTGCTTAAAACTTAATTTATTGCATCAAATGTAATGCATGTAAATAAATATACAATTAATAAGTGCACAAAACTGCATATGTGATCAAAAATTTGTTCTTACATAATATTTTATGGTAATGGAAAGTACAAACGTTGAAAAATCCCAAAGTACTGTAGTTACCTATGACATTGACATAATATAATATTCAGTTATTATGTATTGATTGATTGTTAATGTTTTTTGTCAAGATTGTAATGATTTGGGACAGCCTGACAACGGTGCAATGAATGCCACGAACGGTACAACATTTAACTCCAGAGTCAGGTTCAGATGTAACACCGATTTCCTTCTTGTTGGTAGCGAAACTATCGTCTGTAAAAGTGATGGAAAATGGAGTGGTGATACACCACATTGTGCAGAAAAATGTAATGTTGCTTTTATTAAGTATTCAGCATTTTGAACAGTTAATTTACATACATGTATAAAATATGCGAATCAGTAATTATGATTTGTTTTACTCAAATAGCTTAAATGAGTTTTAATGTCAGATCTTAATGATATGAACGCATATTTGTAACTGATTAAACATTATTTTTGTCTCGGTCTTTTACGTTAGATTAAAGGTTATAAAGCCTTATTTTATGTTATGATACTGTTTTAAGTAGAGCTTCAATAACCGTGTAGCAATAATTACGTGCATGTGCAGTGCGCGCTTGAGGAACTATTTATTAATAAATGTATTTCTCTTGTGCATTTTCTTTCAAAACATATACTCCCACCTCGAAAATCCTATATCATCTATTTTCCATGCAAATGTCTCGGTTGCTGTTTTTCTTGAATGTGCAATAATTTTAAACTGATAAAGAAATAGTCACACAGCTTAAAATGCATTATCTGAATAGTAAAGACTGTTCATGTCTCAAATAAATATTTAAAGGATTGCTGTGCGCAAGTCGTTGTTTCCATGAGCAAGAATGTTAACACTTATTGCATGATACTGTTTGGTTCAAAGAAAACATTCAATAGGTTTCAATAAGCTAATATTTTCCAACACAATGGAACTAAGCAAATGCGTGTAAACTAACACTATTTTAGTTGTTTTAACTTATTGATAAATCTTTACAGCACCAAATGGTGGACACTGTACTTCAAGCGAGTATTGTTTACTAGAAGGATCTGTATGTGAAAATAGCGTATGTGTTTGTAAAACTGACATCTTCGATACAATAAGCAAGAAATGTGATATAAGTAAGTATAAGGTGTAATTGTTATATCTATTTCTATTCATTGAAATTTAAATGCAACAATTATGTTTGTTTTACAGCAGAGTTATTTGGGAATTGTTAGCGTTGAAACATATAAACATTGACACTTCATTCATGTGCTCTGCAAATTGCACTGTAGTCTGTTTACTAAAACGTTATGAATTACAGACAAAAATTGCAAAAATCATAAATTGTATGAAGGACACCAAACTATTATTTCATCACATCAATTATCAAATTATTGATCAAAATGATACACTTCTTTGTTCATTACTGTCTTATGTGCATCACTTTATCACTTATTTTTATTCCATTCCTTATCAGGGCCTGTTTTCACTTCCTATAGCATCCACGGTTGCAACGCTCGCTTCCATTGTACACTTTTCATACTTTTCAATAATTAAGTATTACTAGAAAAATTAAATTACTCAAAATTACAAATTGTATAAAGAAAAACGGAATCCCTAAAGAACGACCAAAACAACAAAACTGAAAATGTTCCAGGCCCGGTTTGATTAAGCCAGTTCATGGAAGGTATTGGAAAGTGTAAGTTACCGTTCACGGCCCATATCACCGGCGTCAGCAGAATTTAACATTTGAACATGAAAATGGTGAAATTTTGAACTTAAAAACATCAGCAGATTTTTTCATACGGCTGTTATCATTGAGCATTCAATTGACAACAATCTTCAAAGTTTTAGGTTTGAAACACTGATCAACAGTCGAAATGTTTATATTTTACTAAATGCCTTACGAGTACATCTAAGTTTACATTTGAGATGTAAGATGATGTCTGGATCATATGATGATCTGTTTTATTATGTTTTTGTATCATTTTGTATATCTTCAGTGCCCCTTCTTCCATACGGGAGCAATGCTGCAGACATACAACTGAAGACAACAGATGATTGTGGGCCTCGGATAGCTTTTAATCCTGGCATACCAGTCTTCGAAAAGACCCATAAAACTTTATACGTGAGCAGATTTGTAATTAATTCATACACTACTGTTATAGTTCTAAATTAAAATCCCATAGTTATATTTTGTTCTACAGCCAAAAAAAAAAAAAAAAAAAACAAAAAACAAACAAAAAAAACATGACCAACACCAACAACAACAACAAAGGAAACGAAAGAAAAGAACAAAACTTAGAATTAAGTTCCGGTGAAAATGGGTATTTTTATGATATATTAACGTCAATAATAATCTATTTTAAAAATGAAATGAAAATAGTTAAACAATAGATACAAATAAAATGTTATATTTTCTTTACTTTTCAGGTTTGCTCCCACGGAATCGTCAGTTTTGACAATGCATATATTGGCAAACATCCTGCAAAAAAGGACAAAATATTATCAGATCTCGAAGGTCAAGACGTTTTGGCTCCGTTTCACGCGCCGTTTAGGTTGAAGCAATCTGGGGGAGTTTACTTCAGGACATATGACATTTTGAAATCTTATTCTAACATAGAAACAGACGAGTCTGTAAAATATATTGACAAAATTATTAAAAAATTAGGAGGAATTGACAACTTTAAATCAAAATTTGCTTTAATTGCGACATGGCACGAAGTTAAGCCGCAGAGGAGACAATTTGACAGAGAAAAGGTATGTGATAGATAATTTTCCACCAAAAGAAATATTTTACATGTAAAGTGGTATCTCTTTAAAATTATAAAATCAATGTTTTACGACGTTACAGAAGTGCGAGATTAAAGGTGTATGTCAGATAAATAAGAGTATTCTCGAGTGTGATTGAAATTATCACGATATTCTGAGGCTTTTCTTTCTTTATATGTAGAAAAGCATTATAACTTTTGATATGTGGTTTGGTGAATAAGACATTCCGGCGCCTTCAAAGCAATATGAAAATTTCTTTAAAATTAAATACAATTCGTAAGTTGTTGTCTAGTAAATCGTGTGTTCAATGAGGTTACTAACTTGTAAAAAGAACTCGTTACCTTAAGTTGATTGGTGTTTATATTTATTGTTATGTTTTAGACATCAACATTCCAGTTTAGTATTGGCTACAGATGGAAGTCATACTTTTACGTTTTATATATACGGACATGATCAGATACAATGGACAACATCTCGATCAAAAACCTCGA